CTAGAATGTAAGAAAAATTTTTTAGACCAAGAGTATTAATTTTTAATGAAAAGTTTTCTTAAACATTTTATTTTTGAAGTATTTCAACAAATAGTCCTTCCGGCAACACATACCGCCCGTGGCAACTCTTATTAAATAAAGTTTTACGTATTCACAAAATACTAGAAGGGCATTTTTGTCTGCGACCTGTCCCTCACCCTTCCACCACCTGCAATAAGGCTTAAGTCCAACANACTGTAACTGGAGCTGAAAGCAGGTAACATAAGTGTTAGTAATTGACGTACAACACTAATTTATTTTTGTGACCTTAGTGTTTAAAACGTTTTCTACACCATTTATGCTATTATTTTTTTTAAAATAATTTAGAGTAAAAATTTATAAGATTGTATAATGGTCATAGTCAAACGTATATAAATGTATAATATTTTTTAGAATAAGACTAGCATTTGAAGCAATTTTTCGAAAATCAGCTACCTTACAAGATGTGGATCCAGATCCAGAATTAAGTTCAGGTTCCATCCATGACAGACAACAGAAAAGTATCGATAAAACTAATCAGCCGATATTAACATCAAGTCCCGTAATGTTCAAAAAAGTTCAACTGGTAAAAAAACAAATTACTTCTTACTACCTCACTAGAATAGTTTTTACGACGCCATCTTGATTCTTACACAGTGCGTCATAAATAAATTAATTTTTTTAATTAAGTGAACATGAATTTTTTAAATAATCGTTATTTATTGCGTAAGCAGAGCAAATCTTAAATAATTGTTAAGAAATTCTTTTTTTTACCCTACTGTGCTGAAAGAAGGAACTCTCCACCCATTTTCAATATCTTATAACATAATAAAAAACAAAACTTGATGAATAACTCAAACCAAAAGTTTTCTATGCAGTTGTAAAATAAAAATTCTACATTAAATCGAGAATTGGAAAAAAATGTCAAAATAACTTCGTTGGTAACATTTATAGATACTTGAAGAAGTTCTTTGAATTACTTATATAAATTGACTTATTTTTTATCAGGTGTCAATAATACACAACGATTACCACTGTATGAAAACAAAGGTAATTCTTATGAAAATCGAGTATCTTATAAGAAAACTTATGTTGTTTATGGTTACATGCTATGCAGCCATACTCCGTAGGCCAGCCTCAACCCGTAAGAACTGTCAGGTAGCAATTTCTGCCTATTCGTTCATTCACTTACACTTAAGAAAAATTTAGCTTTCCAGCATTCTACGCTGGCAAAAAAAACAGTTGCCATTATCTTTTTATTATAAAATCACGTTTAACGAAACTTTAATTTTCGATGTGCTTAAGATTTTCCTTCAATTATGAATAATAATTGCACATTCAAACTCTTTTGTATAGTTTTTGATCTACCTCGTTAATTGTTTCAGGTATTAAACTATTGCTATAAGTGGTTGCGGTGGCGCAACGGTAGAGTTGCAGTTCCGTCGGCCTCCGAGGTTAAGCGGCATTCGGCGCGATTAGTACTTGGATGGATGATGACCATCTGGTGACCATTCAGGTCTCGCCGTTTTGCCTGCGCTCTTGATTCTCGAGGGACGATTAACTGTTTCTCTTTCGATTCGACATCATGATCATAAGTATGACTAAGTTGGTCCAGATGTTTATATACGTACAAACATCTGGTCATAACTCAGGTGCACCAATGGCTGAAAAACACTATTCTTGTGTTAAAAAAAAGCATTTCTGAGCCTATGGGTGATGATGAACAATAAAAAAAATATATATATATATAAATAGCTAATATATTTTCCTGAGAAAGATACAATATACTTGGTCAGTGGTGATAAATATGAAATTGCCTTCGATTATCCAGAATACAACTGTATTTTAAAATATATTATAATTTACCATTCTT